GGGGATTGAAGTTGTCAGATCCAATAAAGGGATCTCATTTCTCAAAAGAAGTGTATCTTATACTTAGTAGAAGAGACTGGTATGATGGATTGCAAGCCGGCAGAATCACTATTAAGAGCAACCACAAATTGCAAGCAGGTAGTGGTACATCAGTTGACTTGGGAAGATACCAGAGACTAGTTGAAAGACTCATTTATCTCTCACATACCAGACCCGATATAGCATATGCAGTTAGTCTTGTGAGCCAGTACATGCATGATCCTTGTGAGACTCATTTACATGTTGTCTTCCGCATATTACGATACCTGAAGTTTGCATCAGGAAAAGATCTGCTCTTTTCTAAGCATAGTCACATTAAAATAGAAATATTTACAGATGCCGATTGGGCTGGTTCCCTAGATGATAGAAGATCAACTACAGGTTACTGCACACTTGTAGAAGGCAACTTAATTACATGGAAAAGTCAGAAACAAAGTGTGGTTGTTCACTCCAGTACTGAGGTAAAATATAGAGTAATGGCTCAAGAAGTATGTGAAATACTATGGTTGTAAAAGCTAATGAGGGAGTTAAAACTGTTTAAAAATGATAAACTATCCTTGTTTTGTGACAATAAAATAACAATTAACATTGCTCATAATCGAGTTTAACATGATAGGACAAAACACATTGAGATTGATCGACACTTCATAAAAGAAAAGGTGGTTGGTGGCTCTCTATGCTTATATCATGTATCTTCTGGTGACACTAAAAGATTATGCAACAAATCTCTTCAAAATTTGATTTGCAAGTTGGGCATGTGTGATATCTTTGCGCCAACTTGAGAGGAAGTGTTGATAACGATTTTATGTTAAATAGAATATTATATTATTTAAAGTTCTAATAGTATAATTATATTCTATAATTAAAGTTCAAATAAAATAAGAATAACTAATCTATATATATATCTTCTAAATGTAAACAAAATAAAGAATAAAAAATTAAAAGTTTATTTTCTCTAAGAACTTCGTTTAGGAAGAAGAAAAATTATTAATGTCACAATTAACCTTTGAAGTGCACTGAATTATATAAGCCTTTGAACTTTATTTTTTAAGAAAATAAGCCTTTCCAGTTAAGTAATATTTTTTTAAAAAGAAGTAATATGTTTTCCTCCTTCCAGGTTAAAAAAACAGTGCTCTATGCTGTTAGCTCGGCTGTGAGAGAAGCGAAAGATATAATGAAAAATCTCGAGTAAGAACTTGTTGCGTTGAAATATTTCTCCAATGCTGCATATACTTCTGGTATATTTGGTATATGTTATGCACAGCACAAGAATCTCTAGTTATGAGTTCTTCTCTACATGTTCAATTGATAATCAACTTCCTGTTTGTTCTTCCTATATTTTGCTGAGTTGAACTGCTATGGAATTTTTTTTCTTTGCCTTATCCTTATATTTGAAGCTGCGCGTGAAGTCTTTTGAATTTCTCTCATAATTTGGTTATCTGAGAAATTCATACTATGGTTCTCTTCTTCTAGAAATTGTTGTGTCAACAGGAGCAACCCACAAGAATCTTTATGGTGTTGACTTTATGTGCTTTGCTGAAGATGATGTTTGATTTATGTAAATGCAGTTGCATTTTACTAATATTAATATTTGGCGATAGGTTTATTCTCTAATAAACTCAGGTAATGCTTGAGCAGATCATCTAACCAGTAGAGTGTGGAGCTTGAAGGAGGCAAAACAAGGAGGTTTAAGCAAAGCCACGCAGATGGGCTGTACAGGGTTGTGCCGCATTCCAGAATAAGAGGCAGTACGGGGGCAAAAAGGAGATACACACACAGAGATACAAACAAAAACACACACATAAAATAGAAGATTTGGATTTTGCAAATTTCCTTCTTATTATTTTGAAATTAATAATGCTATGTTAACACCGAGTGATGTGGGTTCAAATATGCACCAATATGACTTGCCCGCCTTTTGATTGTTGGTGTCAAAGTTCTGTTGTAAGTTCAATTAATAATCGGGTTGCAGTTGATGTATTGATGCAGGTTCGATTTGGACTTCTAAGGTTTAAATAGCAATAATTTTTATTTATTTTATTTAATCAAAGTACAGAAATCTGGATTTCTTTCTCCTTGACATTGCAGGGGAAAAAATATCAGATTGATTTGTTTTTTATCAAATTTTCGGATACGATAATGTATAATTTTGACAAGATTAATTTGATGTTTATTTAAGAAAGCTCTATACCTTTGAAGTACCATTCTTAGTAATTAATAATATGATTACAGTTTAGAGATATTTTATATTAAATCTGGATTACAATAATAATTTATGTTAGTAGAAGTTTATCCGGTAGGATGGTTACGTGTATAATATCCCACTTACTATATTTTGAAAATTTTAAAATCTGCATTTCTAGTACTCAAAACATAAGCATAAAAGGGTTGTTCGTACTTGTAGATAGGTGGGATATTATGGGAAAAAATTAAGATACCAAAAAATAAAATACTAGCGTTTTGAAGTATGCTGCAAGGAAATTGTAGGGAAGCACTTGAATGAATATATGAGGAGTGAAGATTAAGTAAAAATTCAACTAAAATAAATATGATAAAACATGTCTTAAGATGTTTAAAAACAATAACACAAAAACACCAAAATTTTTAGCGTGAAAAACCCTTTCAATATGAAGGATAAAAACTACGGAACATTTCCTGATCCAAGTAAAAAGAGCTCCACTATAAAAATTAGTGTTTCCAGCAACAATAAGCAACCATTATAATCCTCAAACAAATACTTAACAACAAATCAATCGAACAACAAGAAATAAATAAGGGAATGGAGAAATATTACCAAACTAGCTACTGTTCATACGAAACGGATGCGTTCTTATTGTTCAAATATGTTCTCCATCATTCATATCAAAGAACAACTTATCCCGAACATGCTCACCAAATTTTAGCCTCATCAGACCACCAATGACCGTCTGATCGTAAAAAAAAGTCAAACTGGTTGGTGCAGGGAAGAAAAATATGAACAGTAACTTCGAACTAAAAATACCAAAAATCCAACTGTCGAAACTTGATCTCCACTGTTTAGAATGAAGAATAATAAGTCTTCTAAATACTCACCAAATTTCAGTCTGATCCGAACAAAGATCACCATCTAATCGTGGAAAGAAGCAAAACATGTTGGATGTAATTTTCCAGCAAAAATTCCCTTTTCGGTTCACTTTTTATTTTGATGACTAAAAACTTATTTTTATATTATTCCTTAGAGTTAAAATGATATATTCAAAAAAATCCTAATAAGCCAAAAAATAAGTGGGCTCAAAAGTATTTGGGTTTTTTTCACATAAGAGGGAACCTAAAACCCAACAATTCTCTCCCTCCTGACTATGTGGAGGAGTTTGCCAAACCGGCAACCAGTCGACATGGTTCAAATTTCACTCTTGGTAAAGCTTTGTGCACATATTAGAACCGTTATCACCAGTGTGTATCTTCTCAAGTTCAAGCTGTTTAGAATTCAAAACATCACGAATCCAATGATACCTCACATCAATATGTTTGGATCTACCATGAAAAGTAAGATTCTTACCAAGATGAATTACATTCTGATTGTCACAAAATAAGACATATCTCTTTTATGTAAAGTCCAGCTTATTCACAAACTTCTTCATCCAGAGCAATTCTTTACATGCTTCAGTTGTTGCAATGAACTAGCTTCTGTAGTAGACAATGCAATGCATTTCTGCAACCTAGATTGTTATGCCACAACTCCCTTTGCAAAAGTAATCAGATATCCAGAAGTAGACTTTCTTGAATCTATATCCCTTGCCAAATCAAAATATGTAAAACTACTGAGAATAGGCTTCTCAATCCCAAAACACAACTTCAAACTAGTAGTACCACGAAGATATCTCAAAATCTACTTCACGGCATTCCAATGCTCTTTTCCTATATTAGATTGAAATCTACTAACAGTACCAACTACATGAGTTATATATGGTCTAATACAAACCATAGCATACATCAAGCTACCTATTGCAGATGCTTTTTTCTTATTTCTCTTACTCACTAGAAGAAGACTGTTTGACACTCAATCTGAAAGACATAGCAAGAGGTGTACTGGCAGGCTTAACTCTGGTCATATTAAATTGATGTAGTACCTTCTCAATGTAATTTTCTTGATATAGCCATAACTTTTTGCATTTTCTATCGCGCGTGATTCTCATGTCAAGAATGTGCTTTGTTGGCCTTAAATCTTTCATTACAAAACATTTGCTTAACTCTTTCTTCAAGCTATCAATTCTAGAAGAATTAGAACCCACAGTGAGCATATAATCAACATGTAACAATAGAATGATAAAATCACTATCAGAAAATCTCTGCATAAAAACATAATAATCAAAAGTAGTCTTCTTGTAGCCTTGTTGAACCATAACTGACTCAAACTTCTTATACCATTGTCTAGGTGCTTATTTCAACCCATATAAGCTCTTTATCAATTTGCAGACATAATTTTCTTTTCCTTTCACCACAAAACCTTCATGTTGTTCCATATAGATTTCCTCCTTTAAGTCACTATGAAGGAAGGTTGTTTTAGCATCCATTTGCTCAACCTCTAAATCAATACTAGCAACTAACTCCAAAATAATACGAATTGATGACATCTTGACCACTTGTGAGAAAATCTCTTTAAAATCAACTCTCTTTTTCTGATCGAAGCCCTTGACAACTAATTTGGTTTTGTATTGTGGAGATTTGGAATTCTCTTCTTGCTTCACTCTATAGACCCACCTATTTTTCAAGACTTTTCTATCTTTAGGAAGTTTCACCAATTCAAATGTGTAATTGTCAGTTAAAGACTGCTTTCATCTTTTATAACTGCAATCCATTGTACCTTTTCAACTGCATCTTCATAACATTCAGGTTCTTCTTCATCTGTCAAGAGTATGTACTCATTAGGTGAATACCTACTAGAATGTGTTCGATCTCTAGTAGACCTCCTAAGTGAAGCTTCAAGTTCCTCAACATGTGCCTCTTGTTGAACATCAACTGCTTCATATTCAGGAGCACTAATCTCATCTGTATTGTGATTGTCATTTTGCACATCATTGATTCTGAACCTCAACTGCATTAGGCATATGAGTTGTAGGAGATGGGTCTAAGTCAATCAAATCACCAATATGAGACTTAAACTTCTCCACCTTGTTAATATTTTCAATAATCTTATCTTCTACAAAGATTATATCACGATTTCTGACAACTTTCTTTTGAACTCAATCATAGCATCTGTAACCAAACTCATCTTACTCATAGCCAATGAAAATACACTGTCTAGTCTTGGCATCTAACTTGGACCTCTCATCTTTAAGAACATGCATAAAATATTTGTAACTAAACACTTGTAGATGTTCATAAGAAACATCTCTACCATATTAGAACCTATTAGGAACATCATTTTTCAATACAACAGTGGGAGTTAAATTGATCACATGTGCGAGAGTATACAAAGCTTCACCCTAAAAAAAGTTAGATAATTTAGCCTTTGAAAGCACGCATCTGATTCCCTTCATCAATGTTTTGTTCATCTTTTCTACCAGACCATTCAACTGAGGAGTTTTAAGAGGTATCTTCTGATGTCTGATACCCTGTTTTATGCAATATGCATCAAAAGGCCCACAATACTCACCACCATTATCAGTGCGAATACATTCAACTTCTTTCCAGTTTCTCTTTCAGCAAAAGCTTGAAATTCTTTAAATGCACCAAGCACTTGATCTTTTGATTTTATGGTACGAACCTAAAGTCTCCTTGAATGATCATCAATAAAGGTCATAAAGTAAAGTACACCACCAAATAACTTATCCTTCAAAGGACCACAAACATCTGAATGCACCAGCTCAAGTAAATCATCTTTCCTGGACGAAGAATAATATTTAAAAAAAACTCTCTTTTGTTTCCTAGCCAAACAATAAGTACACTTGGCTAATCTTGCACCTTTTAATCTTGAAAGTAAATTCTTTTTAACTAGACAATCAAGTCTATTCTCACTAATATGACTCAGTCTCTTATGCCATAATTCTGAGGAGCTGTCACCTTCAACTATATTAATAAGATCTGTAGAGATTGAAGCTTACAACCAATATAAGCCCAAAGCCTTCTTTTCTCTATCTACAATTAAGGAACCTTTCTTAAGTTTACATTGCTCATCATTAAAGTGCCGCAATAGTCATCATCATCAAGCTTACTAGTGGAAATCAAATGCAACCTAATGTCTAGAGCATGTTTAACATTCTTGAGCTCTAACTTTGTTCTATTTTGAGTCTTTAAACAAATAGTTCCAGTGTCTATCACCTTCGACACTCCATTACCCATCTTCGAAATTCCAAAATCACCTGGAGTATAAGATGTGAAGAATTCCTTCTTTAATATAACATGAAAACATGCACCACTGTCAAGAACCCAAACAATATCATCATAGGCTACATTGATCATATTCTCTTGATAAACTATAGTCAAATCATCATCTAAAGTGGTAATGGCAACATGATCAGTATTGTTGTCATTTCCCTTCTTTTTTTACTTCCTTTTGTTTGCTTTGTTCTCTTTATTGCACTTGTAACAATATTTCTTAATATGCCATGTTTTACCACAATAATGACATTCAAGGTTTTTGTACCTTTATTTTGATTTGCTCGTACTCTTGCCTCTATTCTGATCTTGACATTTACTTTTACTTTTCGCCATGTTTTCAGTAACCAAGATTTCTGACTGTGAACTAGATGTCCCCTGAATTTCTCTTCTTATCTCTTCATTCAAAAATGCCAGTCCTTGCATACTGCATTATTACAACACCATCAGTAACAGAACTAGTCAAAGATACACGAAAGTTTTTCCATGAGTCAGGAAGTATAATCAACAACCAAAGTCCAATGACATCTTCATCAAATTTGACACCCATGTCAGACAGTTGAACAAAGATACCTTAAAATTCATTCACAAGATCAAGTATAGAACTACATTCTCTATATTGTAAGCATATAGCTTGTTTAAGCAAGAATAACTTATTGTTTCCAGTCTTTGAAGCATATAAGGTTTC